CTTCCCTTTTTTTTCCTCATAATTTATCATATTTGTCATTTTATTGTCCTTCCAGGAATGGCAATTTTTGCAGAATATTGTTGAGAAGGAAAATATGTGATGTATAATAATTGGATAGAAAATTCCTGTCACATTTGTCATTTCATACTTATCACTTCATGTTTATCACTTCACGTTTATCACTTTATTTTATCATTTCACACTTGTCATTTCATACTTATCACTTCATGTTTATCACTTCACGTTTATCACTTAATATTTATCATTTTACATTTGTCATTTCATATTTATCACTTCATATTTATTAATTCATATTTACCATTTCATATTTACCATTTTGTGTTTATCACTTGTATCGATCATTTTATATTTATCATTTCATATTTATCATTTCATGTTTACCATTTCATATTTGTCATTTCATATTTACTATTTCATATTTTTCATTTCATATTTATCACTTCACATTTATCATTTCATGTTTACCCTTTCACATTTATCATTTCATATTAATCATTTCTAATATGTAACAATATTAAATAATGACTGTAAGTCGTATAACAATTGTAAATACACAAATCAATCTATAATATTCACAACGTATTTATAATAGGAATTGCATGCAATGTAATTATATTCAATTATATATATATATATAATCGAATTAATGCACTTCGATAATTATATTAATTTCGCATTTTCCTTAATTTTGATATTTTTGCATTTTTCTTAGTTCTGATTAATTTTGCATTTTTCTCAGTCTTGATATTTTGCATTTTTCTCAGTCTTGATATTTTGCATTTTTCTCAGTCTTGATATTTTGCATTTTTCTCAGTCTTGATATTTTGCATTTTTCTCAGTCTTGATATTTTACATTTTTTCTTAGTTTCGATTAATTTTGCATCCCCTTTAATTTTAATTAATTTTACATTTCTCTCAGTTCTGATCATTTTTTTCATCTTTCTTAATTTTGTATTTTACTTAATTTTGATAGCTTTTGCATCATCTTATCAATCCATAACAATTGCTATCATATATGATTGTATAAATACAATAAAAGATATGCGATATTGAAGAATTTAATCCTCAATGAATAATATATTCATCAAAAAATTCCAAATTCACAATAATTTGATCATAAATTTTATATGCTAAAATTAATATCCTTTACATTTATTTATTTTTTATGAAACTAAAAGAAATATGTAATAAAAATTTTTTCATCTCTTCCATTCTTTCGATATCATTTCATTGTTCACTCAAATCAATGATTCTCAATCGGTAATTCTCGAGAACTAAAATATTGATCTGGGAGGATAATGGTACGACAGGTAGAGGTTGTTCTTACTAATGTCTGATAAACTAAAAAAAACTCTGATTAAAATCTATTTCTAAATTAAAAAAAAAATTTTATTTTTACATCCTATGATTCTGCTACAAATAAAAAAAAAATCAAAATAGTCTCCGGTCAAGTAATGAAGACTTTTTTTTCCTAAATATATGTTATTATCCTCAATCCAAATTTTTTAATTTGTTATCAAATATATATATATATATACATAAGATTACAAATATCGCTATCTTAATATCAAGCTTATCACGAAGTGATAATAATACATTATTTTATACGACAATAATATTTATATATTTGAATCATATACAAATGAATGGATATTTTAAGGTAATATTCATAATCCAATAATGGCATGATTAGTTCAACGATTAAATCATCTGCTCATTATCTTATCCAATATATTCTTGCTTTCTTTTTTTTTCCCTCTGTTAATGTTACCATACGAATAATAATTTGATTAATAATCCTAAATATTTGTTTTGAATAAAGAAGGAAATTATTAGAAACATTATACTATTATAAGGATTATAACATCTATGACAAAATACTCGTAAAATTATTCAAAAAATTGGAAAGTTTATCGTAATTTTCATATTGTCGTATCTTTTCTAGTTAACAATATTTTTTTAAGTAATAAAATCCTATCCTTTTAATGGAATTATATAATCTATTCATTTATCAAATTAAGTGAAAAAAAAAAACTTTCCCTCCCTATCATAACTTAGCTAACACTATTCAAATATTTGACGATCCGATACGGTTTCGAAAGCATTTATTTCATTCGTAATATTCAACATCCTAAAAATAATATTTGTACTTTACTTAATCTAGACATTTTACAATGATATTGTTAGTGTTTTATCTAGTGGCACATTTTAATATTTATCCTAATCATTATGTAGTTACGTCGTGAATAGCGTCGTCCCGTTAAAATGAATACCGAGAATTATTCTTAAATAGTATGATGATAATAGTGACAGAAATAATTCATGGGAATGGCAGTAATACTAGAAGTTATGTATAACTACTGCATATGAAGAGTTCCCAAATCAAGCACCATGTTAAGCAGTTCTCCCATGATCTGTCAATTTATTCGAAAAACATCCTGTCACCTCCCATTAACCCTTCGACTTGACGCAGATGCAAAACATAAGTTGAAAAAAAATTTGTATTCAAAACGGCTCTCAATTCACAAAAAGCGTAAAACCAAACATAAGCATAACTTTGGGCAATTCTGTATCTATATTGGCAAGAATCGAACTGTTGGCACTCATTTCAATAAGTGGGATATATATATATATATATATATATATGTGTGTGTGTGGTGGTAGGGTAGGT